TTTCCAAGAGTTTTTATAGGTTTTGCTTGCATTTAGGTCTATGACTTACTTAAAATTTTGTGTCTATAGTGCACTGAAAACTTTTCTTCACTCTTTTGTTCCTGTTTCATATTACATAACTTCTATCTTCAGGTTTGCTGATTCTTTCTTCTGCCAGATCAAAGCTACTATTGAGCCTCCCTAGTACTAATACATTTTTAACTTTGGTTACTGTATTTTTCAACTCCAGAATTTTCATGTTTTTAAAAAATAATTTGTTTATGTTCTCTGTTGTCATATTTTCCTTAATTCATTAAATCTGGTTTCCTTTAGTTCTTTGAATATACTTACACTAGCTGTTTAGCATTTATCCTTTACTTGGTACCTCTCAAAGGAAGTTTCTATTAACTACTTTTCCATCTATGGGTCACACTTTTTCTTTGCATGTCTCAAATTTTGTGCTCAAACTGGACATTTTAGGTAATATAGGATCTCTGTATATTTATCATCCTTCCCTACCTCAGACTTGTTTTTAGTTACTTGGCTGAACCAATTCATGAAGTCTATTTCCTCCACAGTGTGCAGCCTCTAATGCTACTGTTCAACTTTTTCCCCCTGCATTTTTACCTTTAAGCCTGATTTTCTAGGGGTTGCTCCTGAGTCGGCGGCATTTAGTGGTCAGCCACTGATTGGTCAAAGGCTATGATAAAGCTCCCTGAATCAGTGAGATTTAAACCTTTTACCATTGGGATCTGTGTGTGGCTTGCAGGCTGCTTTTACTACTTAGAGATTACAAGTTTGTCTTACCTTCCTCTAGGGACTTGTAGCTCCGAAGTTCCCTCTTTGGTCACTCCTCTGAGACTGTAGTCTTGAGTATGCACACTTTCTTCCTCATCACAAGAGATATCTGTGGTTTCATCTAGGCTCTTGTCTTTTCCTCTGATCCTGTCTTTAAGCTTCTGGCTGGTTATTTATTGGAATGACTTGGCAATGATTAGACTCCACTAATTTCTAGCTGATTGCTCTATTGTTTTCAACAATACTTGCAATTGTTCCTGGCTGTCCCAAATAAAGTCAGGTCCTGTAACAATTTTTAGTGTCAGTTTGACTGGATTAAGAAATATCTGGAGCTAGTAAAGCATTATTTCTGCGTATGTCTGCGAGGGTGTTTCCAGAAGACACTGGCATGTGAATCAGTGGACTAAATGGGGAAGAGCAGCCCTCAATGCAATTGAGGCACAATCCTGGATAGAACAAAAAAGCAGAGAAAAAGCAAATTCTGTCAACCCCTCCTTCCTCCTTTCCCTCCTAGAGCTAAGACTTCCTTCTCCCACTCGAGGCTTTTGGGCCTTTGGACTCTAAAACTTGTACTAGTGGCCCCATATGTTCTCAGGCCTTCTACCTAAAACTGAGTTACACCATCAGCATCTCTAGTTATAAGGCTTTTGGAGTTGGACTGAGCTATGCTATGCCCAGCACCCCTGGGCCTGTAGTTTTCAGATATCCTATCACAGGACTTCTCAGCCTCCATATAATTACATGAGCCACTTCTAATATACCCACCTCACATCTATCTATATATCTATCCCTAATACATCCCCTCACATCTATGTATATGTTTATCTACCCTATTTGTCCTTTCTCTCTGGAAAACCCTAATCCAAGCCCCCTGTAATGGACAGTGTATTATCATGTTTTTGAAGCCTACTCCAACATCCTCTTGAAAAGAACCTCTATGCCTTTGTGTTATGGGGCAGGGGAGATTGATGGGAAATCAGCTTTACACTAAATGCCCTACCCACATGCTCCTTGCTATGCAGCTCTGTTGGGAGAGGAGTGCAGGCAGAGGGACAAAGCTGTAAAAATGCAACCTGCCAAATGGGTATATCTTCCACCCAGAAATACTGTGTATCTTCCAGTTATGCTTTATGGTTTTTCTTTTGGCAGCTTCATACAACTCTTGAGGTTATTATTTTGTGCCTCTTATTATAAATTGGTCTTCTTTCATTATTTCTGAGTAAGGTTATTATTTTGTGCCTTTTATTAGAAATGGGTCTTCTTTGATTATTTCCCTGTTGATTACTGGTAATTGTTTAGGGAAGTTGACTAATTTTCAGTGTATTCCTTTAAATTTACAGGATATCAAAAGCAAGTCATCTGCAAGTAGCACTTTGGTCTTTCCCCCAAATTTTACTTTCCTATTCTTTTACATTAGCAATAACTTATTAAATAATTGATATCAGGCAACACTGTTTCACTCCTCAATTGAATCATTTAAAGTGTTGCAACGTAAACATAATCTTCACTTTTAAGCACTTTACTTCTTTTAATACATTAAAAATTTCTTTACAAGGACTGAGTGTTTAAAATAAGTACATTCTTGCCATCTCCTAAAATGATTTTTAAATGGATGTATATTATATTAATATTTTTCCTACACTATTTACTCGAAAGTTTACATTGTTATAATAATTATATTCTGTTGGCCAGGTGCAGTGCCTCATGCCTGTAATGCCAGTATTTTGGGAATCTGAGGTAGGAGGATGGCTTAACTTCAGGAGTCCGAGACCACTTTGGACAACACAGTGAGACCCCCGTCTCTACAAAATATAAAGTAGCCAGGCATGGTTGTACATGCCTGAAGTTCCAACTACTTGGAAGGCTGAGGATTGCTTGAGCCCAAGAATTCGAGGTTGAAGTGAGCTATAATTGTGCCACTGCATTTCAGCCTGGGCAACAGAACAAGACCATGAGACCTTGTCTCTAAACAGTATATATAATATATATATTCTCTTTAAAGAAAGAGTCTAAATTTGGGGGCATTAACAGAAGCCCTGTTAGAGAATTAGCCAAAAAGTGACTCAAAGACTTCATGAAACACCTCTAAAACACTAATTACTTCTCAACTGTCCAGTTATTAAAGGAAGCATACATAAATCAATGAACATCAAATTCAATCATCTTGACTGTTATAGGGAAAAATTTTCTACCAATACCAGTCTTAACCACCAACAAAAAATGCCATGAAACTTCCCCCCAGTAAGTTTTGCTCAATGAGATCCCCAGTGGAGTCAAGGTACTTGGCTGAGAACAAGGATCTTAACAAGCTATTAAGGCAAAGAACAGAACCAATACCCCAAAAGGGTATATATCCCAAGTCAAATAACCAGATGTCAACAGTGAAAAGGACTCATTATTTTTTTAAAAGATCGGGGTTAGCAGTATGGATTTAATACATAATATTCTGTTTTCACCACACCGCCATTCTCCCCCATCCCAAGAATACCTATTACTTTTCTGAACAGATATTTCAAGTCACTGAAGGAATTAGTATCTAAGTTTATTCCCCATTTAACCTGGACATAAATTCTTACAGCATTTCTGCTCTGTCTTATCTTTAATCCCTTCATAAATTGTATTTCTCAGCACACAAATGACCTACTTTACTCACTTTTTCATTATTTTTAGTCTCATTTTGATACCAACACACTTCATCTGGCAACTCTGTATATATTTTATACTTTGTTACACTTTTATAGATATTATATATCAAAAAATATATGAAACTTGTGTTTTTAAATGAAAATACCACTCTAAGAGCAGACCCTCCAGGGAACTCAAGCAATGGTTGGCAAACTATGACCAGTGTGGCAAATCTGGCCCACTGCCTGTGTTTGTAGATTTTATTAAAACACAGCCATACCAATTCATTTACACATTGTCTTTGACTATTTCTGCATTATTGAGAGTAGTTATGACAGAAACCATATGACCTATAGGCCTGTTATTTACCATCTGCCCCTTTATTGAAAAAATTTACTGACCCCTCAAATGAAAACGTAACATTTTTCATAAGAAACTATTGTATTTCAATCTATGTTACTGAATACTTGCAAAGATAAACTCTTTTAAAAATGAACTTTTTTTTTTTTTAAGTAAAAGCCAAATAGTAAGAGACCCATTTCAATAGAGCAGGGCAAATGGTGATGGGGGAATCCTGACCCAGAGGTGTGATTGCATAAATAAAACTAACTCTTTAAATGTAATAAGACCCTCAAACTACTGAATATCATTATTTTGGAGAGCCATTTTTAGTTTAGTTTCAGCCACACAGAAAAAGAAAGGACAGAGGGTTTTGTTTTTTATTTTCTGCAATGGCAATAAAGAAGCAGGTTTGCCTTCTTCAGAATAACCCAAGTTAACATCAGAAAAGGTTCCAACTAAAATATCTGGGGCATGAAGCTTATTTTAAATGGCTTTTAAGACCTTAAGGGAAGAAATACGTATCTCAATGTTAGATTTATTTTACTGACAGCTATTCTGAAATGTATTTTTACACTGCTACAAATATTGGCAGGATAGTTCCTTTCTTCTCCTCTATTCACAGCAGGAGATACTTCATAACAGACTAACTGTAAGAACAGAGCATTTCAGTTGTATTGCTCTTAGGGTACTGAAGCAGCGGTCCCCAACCTTTTTGGCAACAGGGACTGGTTTCATGGAAGATAATTTTTTCACAGAACAGGGTGGGGCAGGGGTCTGCAGGGGGGAAAGAGGGCCCTGGGAGTGGAGGGAGCAGAGCTCAGGGGGTAATGCCAGCTGTAAATATACATGAAAGCTTTGCTTACTGGCCCACTGCTCACCTCCTGTTGTGCTGCCCAGTTCCTAAGTAGTTTCATAGAAGACAATTTTTTAATGAATATGGGGCAGGGAAGCTCAGGTGGTAATGTTCGATCTGTTTCTAAATAGGTAAGGCCATAGATACTAGGGCCAGGGACTGGGGACCACAACTGAAGAGCATAAGTCTCTCTATGGCTTACCTGGCCAGCATACCAGCATACTAAATCATGGTAAATGTTACCTTTCTCAAAATTTTATCTTTGATTTTTGGGGAAAAAAAAATCACCACACTTTACTTTGTATAGTTCACTAGCATTAAACACACACACACATTAAAATCTGAATATTGCCCATTTAAAATCAAGTTCCCATTAGATTTTACCACAGTAAAAACATTATTGTGTAAACACAAACTTAAGATAAATTTAATTGAAGAAACGTTCATTACAGAAATTAACAATGCTTACCAGTCTTTAAACACCATCTACATAATAATATATACTGTATACCTCCAATTAACTCCATTCTTAGGCTCAATTTAAGAAACACAATTGTAACAGGTTTTATACAAAAAATACTTCACTAAGAAAGTAGACAAACTGCACAAAAACAGTACAAGTATAATGTGCATAGCAAGATAGCTTGAAGCATCTATGTATGGCTTTCTTTAAAATAAAACTATTGGGGGAATGGACCCATTTGGGACCTACTGTTACAGTGGACATGTAAACTGTTTCACATCTTTTTTAGGCACTTGCTAACAATAGTGTTCAATCCCTGAAAAATGAATTTACCTAAAAAAAAAAAAAATCTACATTTGCAATAAAAACCAAGAAAATAACATGGGTAAAGTCTTATATATTCCTTTTAAATTAAACAACCAGTTTTATTAGTGCATGCACAGAACTAAACTGAAAGAAAATAAACTTTTTGTCAAAAAACTTTCTGTGCAAAATTTACATAAAGATACAAAAATATGTACAGATTTAATTTCTTTGTTATATACATACAGAAAATAAGCCCTGAAGTTTTCATCCAATCAATGAAAATGTCATTAATACTTAATAGCAATAATGTAACAAAATCATATAGTTTGTAATTTTGTAATACAAGAACTCCATTATCCAACAATTCAACAAATTTGATCCAAACTTACAAGGTGAAAAGTTTAACTCTATGATTCTGCTGTCATGAAAACATCCACTTTGAAACTCTGTTGAGCACGTTCCTTAGGAATCTGTCCTAAAGTTTTATGCGCTGCCACTGGGTCCGCTGTTAATGCTTCCCCATTTTCAAATGCCAGCAACCAGTATATATCTCCTTTGGGTTGTCAGTCATACTGAAATTTGCAAACGAAAATGATTTGTACTAATTTGAACATGTTCAAATAACAATAGTAAACACAGACAAAAATATGGTTTGCTTCAAAACATTTGTTTCAGTAGAAAAATTTTGATTTTCAAGAAAAGCCATTCCCTTGGAAGTGCTTCTATGTTCCATTCTTTTTAAAGGGATGGCAACCAAGAAAAAAAACGGGCTATTTGGTTTATGATGGACAATTTAAATCAGATAAACATAGTTCTGTGCAAGGGGATCACTGGAGAATATAATCAAATTCAGAAATATGTTCCACTTCTTGAACTGGACTTTAAATGAGATAAAGTTTAAATTCTTCTCTTGAAATTGCTCATCTACTACAATGCTTGACATAGCCACTTAGAAAGGAAAAAATCACCTTGGGAGTGAGTTCCAATCTCTGACATGTGACAGAGCTTAACAGGTACAACAATTTACTTGCCAAAAACTCTTCAAGCATTATATGAGGTGGTACTGTAGTGAGTTATATGTACTTTCAAAGGAGCGTAATACCCTCCAAAAGAACTGAATTTAGTAGATACAGAATAACTTCTCCAAGCTCTCTCAATTTATCTTTACAAATGATGAGAAGCTCCCTCAGTTCCATCGTGAAAGAGCTCTCTATCTTCAGAGGAGCAATACTCATCAGATTCCTAAGGCTGGTGGAAGAAGGGGGGGGGGTGCCAGCTATTACCCTCACTTAAGAGTCACTATAAAGAACTAAATTCGGAAACTTGTTTTATCAAAATTTTCTTTAGCCCTAACTTCCCAAGAGCACATTTAGAAAAAATTAAATCCAGGTAATCTGTGCTGTGATTAGTTTCTTTCCAAACTTATGTGTGCAGTGATAGCACTTTGAAATATCAAACATAAAACTTTTGCTCTTCCACAGAAATATAATCAACTTCCAAAATATTTAATTTCAGGTACTATATTGAAGTAGAAAATGTCTGCATTATGGTAATTAAACCCATTGTTTTCTTCTAAGGTAATTTACTTTTCTTTTCCTTGGTAATTACAGTGAATTATTCTAACATATTCCAATCCCGAGTAGCTTCCATTAAATGTCTCTGCCCATGACCAGCCCAAATATCTTGATTGTCAAATATTCTACCACAAAACCAACAGTTAAATTTAGCCTTCAAAACATTTTCAGAGGTAGTCTTCACAATCTGATAATTGTTTTTGCTTGTTTTCTTGAGTGTTAATTTTAGCACAAATCTTTCTTTCACAGAACTAACAGGTTTAAATGTTTTGTGCCTCTTGGAAAAATCATCACAAGTTACTTTCGAAGGGTTATAACAAACTGGATTCAGTAAAGCATTGATAGTTCTTTTTGACAACGAAACCTTAAGTACGCGTCCATTAAATTTAGCAATAGTTTTCATTACATTTACTACTTCTGGTGCATCTGCATCAGGATGATTCAAAACTACAACTGGTTGGTTTCTCCTAGGACATTTCACAAGCTGTTTGGAACTGAAAGGGAAAAGTCGCAAAGTTCTGACTGAATCTTTTGAAAGTCTAGGTCTGCTAAATCCAAATGTTTCATGGCCATCTTCAGGTTTAGCCTTTTCTTTACACTTTCTATGCAATGTCGCTTTTTTTCTTGGAGGTTCTTGGTAACTATTCCTACACTTACGTTTATAGTTTCTGTTTCTAGATACAAAGGCAGTTTCAGAATCTTTACTTCTTATATGAGTTTTTATTTTTGAAAAATTTTTTTTGGAAGTCTTTTTTCTATTAAAGTTTCTCTCAATTGTACAATTTGTTTTACACCTTAAAACTCTGGCCTCTGAACAGTCATGGGCACATACTTGTTCACCAGACGACTCAGGGCAAGTTGCAGTAGAAGTTACCACAATTTCATTTGCTGGCATCAAATCATCTTGTAAGAAGGGTAAGGCATCTCTAGAAGATTCTGGCTCTTTCTGCTCTCCTCCTATAGTCTGACTAGGTGGGACACTGTCTTTCTGCAATGACGATGCAGAGTTGCTTACTGACAGATTATTAGCAGTCACATTTAAAACAGGGTTAAAAATTTTCAGCAATATTCTTTGTGGTGGTCCTTCAGGTTTCTTTGGCTGTATATTTTGATAATAAGTACTATTTTGGACTAATTTAGGCTTAAACAGCTCAGTTTTATTTGGCATCACACATTTAAGAAAAACAGCTTGTTTGCCATCAGGCAAGAGTGTATAAAGAGGTGGTTTTGGAAAAATCTCATTCTGCTGTTTTACTGAATCCAAGATATTCAACTTAGTGCCCTGATGGTCAGGTAGCATATTAGGAGTAGGAACAGCTTTCACTGAAGAACTTGCTGATGTTTTAATAATGTAAGGGCCTTTTAATGGCAAAGTGTTTTCTGAGCTGCTTTTCACACTCAAACAACTGCCAATGCTGGAACAAAGTGCAGGTGTAAGACAATTATTGTTTGACTCCACCTTTAAAAAGGGCATTTTGCAAGGCTCCTTGGTCACAGTTCCACAAGCTTGAGCACTCTCAGTTTTGACAGTGGAAACACCTTCAGGTTTCCTATTATTAAATGCTAAAATCATCCCAGGTTTCTTGTTTAAAAGAAGAGAAGCAGGTACAGCTTGTGCATTAACCAATGGAAGTGGTCTTCCTGAAAAAACATGTAACCCAGGCTTGTTAGCAACATGCAATGGTACAAAAAACCCTTTTGGTGTCTGAACAAATATAGCCTTTTTTTGTTCTGGATTTAGAAGTGGGCTCTGCATATAGAAAGAGCCTAGATTTTGTGTAGTGGCTCGTAGTTTGTCTTTTACGAGCTGCTGTGTTATTATGGCATCTGACTGAGTCTTAAGTAATGTGCCAAAACCTGAAATTCTAGGTGTCTTCTCTGAATCTTTAACATCTTGTGACACCGATAGCACTTGTTTTTCTTTTCCATTATATTTTAAATTCAGATCGTATGTAGGCACATTAACACCTACACTGCCAGATGGAACCTGGAAGATGCCTTGCACTTTGAAGTCTTTTGAAGATTCAACTATTTTGCCTTCTCCCTCATGTTTTTGAAATGACTGGTGACAATTAAGTGGTGGATCTTTATTTGGAGTGTTACTAGAGTCTTGTTTTACATCAGATTTTGTTTTCAGTACCTCTTGCAGCAATTGGTTTATTTCGGGTGGCAAAAATTCTGATGCCTGTTGACTATGGAGAGAGAAAACAGATGTGATTCTAGGCATCAAAGGTGAATCAACACTAGAAATATCATCCCATTTAGATTTTTCAGTCACACTCTCTAAATTCTGATTTTCATTACTGAACAAGTTTTGTTCAACCATGTTTTGCTCTTTTCTTAAAACACACTGGTCTTCAGTTTCAACTTTTGTTTTTAAAGTTTCATCTTTATCATTTAAAAGGCTAATAGACGATAATAGGCTATCTGGTTTTGAGCTCTCCTTCCTCACTAGTGATAAAACAGATTCACTAATTGGTTGCTGAACAACTGTTTTGCTAGGTGGAGATTCTCTTTGAGGGCTATCACACATTGCTGTTCCTGAAAACCTACGACGCTTATTAGAATTATTCATTTTTGAGTAATTATGAAAAGGTAATGATCCTTGGCTGGAGGACTCAACAGGTAACTCAGAACTGACATAATTAATGCAATAGTTATGCATATCTCCACTGTTGTGTGCATTTGGTTTGGTAGTATGGTTGACTTTATCTGGGCTTTTAATGGTGGTACTTAATACCTCAGGGTGACTCTGAGTGTTATGATTTCCCCATAAATCAACATTATCTCTTGTTTCAACTTTTGTGGTCAAATTCACTGATGTAATCAATTCTGATGTTGGCAAAGAAGAGACACTTTTTTCATAATCCAATGTTTGAAGCGTATTATTCCTTTGGGATATCGAAGCCATTTCTTTTTCTGAAGTTACTTTCTCTGGAAGTACAGGAGATGAACATGAAAATGGAGTAGTTGTTTTCATATAAACTGTGTCACTTAACTCAGTTGTTACTCCTCTTAAAAATCCAATGGTGTCCAAAGTCTGGGGCTGCAAATTAGCAGTACTCGCCTTTGTAGCATTTGACTGTGAGCCTGGTGAATATAAATTCTGTTTATTGGTAGGTAACAATTTTATTACAATGTGCTGTTTTCCATCCACCACCTTGAAGCCCATAAACTTAGCACTGTAGTTGGCAGGAATTGTTATTTTATTATTTTTCACCATTAACACTGTAGGTCCTTGTACAGCAGTCTTCAAGAAACCTGAAGTAGCATTTGATCCCTCATCAGCTCTATTACATTGCCCAGCAGACTGAGGAGTTGGCTTCTCTGACTCTGATGCAGAGGGTTTATCATCATTCTCAAGTCTTTCATCCTTTTCTTCACTCAAATGCTTTTGAACAGGATGGCTCTGGTCTTCAGATTGAGTCTGTGTTTTGTTCATTTTTTTAAGCCCTTGAGTGCTTTTTTCTATACTTCTGTCACTTCCATTGTTAATTTTCTTACGTTTCCAGAATATCTTCCTTGAAGCACCTATTTTATATCTTTTTAGTATTAGTTTAAGTCCTGCTGAGGTCTTTGTCATTCTTTTTTCATATTTGTCTTTCTCTAGTTTTTCTTTCGCATACAAATGTTCTTTGTGCAAAGTTATAACATGTCTTACGAGGTGTTCTCTCTTGGTGGCACCATAGCTACAATATTGACAAGTGAAGAGAAAAGTACCAGAATGAATGTGAAGGTGCTTCTGAAGCTCTCCTTTGGTATAACATACATGATGGCATTTACCACATTTATAATGAATTTCATTATGTCTATGAATGTGCTGAACAAATGTGCCAACATCCTGGGTGGAGAATTTACACTTTTCACATTGAAAATTACCATTAACACAATGTGTGGATGCGAAATGTTTTGTCAAGTCCAATAAAGTATATACATTCTCATTGTTACAAATGTCACATTTTACTAAAGTGCTTCTATGAGTTCGTCTATGTTGTTTAAATACCTGGAAGTCATTTGCTGAAAAACTGCACATTTCACAAGGATATGAAGGTAGTTCACCATGGTGCCACATTTGAAAGTGTTTATGCAAATCATTTGGGCTATATCGAGTGTTGTCTCGGCATTTTAAACAGCTGAAATTGAGTATTTTTGCAGACATTTTTAAACCCTCTTCTTCAGCTCTCTCAGATTTATGAAGCAACATACATTCCTCTACACAGCTTACAGTCTTTATACTGATTGATTTTCTTGCTGTCTGTGGTTTACCCTGAAATAATTTTCTGTATTTGTCAACTTCATGTTTTGACAGGACTTCATTTGGAATATTTATCTTCGGCAAAACAATTTTCACATTTTTTAAATCATAATGAAAACTACTTTCTGAAATGTTTGGTTTAGGTATTGATCTGACAGGATCAATTATCTCATTTTTCACATCATATTCTTTTTTTATAGTAGTTTGCTTTTCATCAAAAAATAACTGTTTCTGTTCAGATGGCATGATTTAACCAAAAGTTGCAATTTCTTTTTTCTGAAAACTCTTGAAGTTATCTGTAATTTAAACAGGAAATGATACTGTGTCGAGACATCTTCAAAACACAGGATTTTTCCCACATTAACTCACCTAAAATTAAACGAAGAATTGAAATTTTTATCACAAAAGAGCAAATTTCATATCTTTAAGTTCATTTTGGCACAAAGAATCTTAATCAAACATATAAATTAAAAATACAAAACACCTGTTAAGTATTTTAAGAACGGCTTACCAAGAAGTAATGGTTTGAAGTAAAAATAACACTAATCTGGAAGTCAGGAAATGCAAGCTCTAGTTCCAGCTCTGCTATGTGACACTGGGAAAGCTTCAACTTCTCTGCACCTCAGTTTCCTCATCTAAAGAAAATCATAGCTGGATAAGTACTTTCAAGCTCTAAAATTTTATATTAAGTTGATACTACAAGTTTTAAAATAGGATTTAAAAAATATTAACAAGAGAGTTCTAAAAATTAATGTTACACACATGTGGGTTTATCCATGTACCATTAACAAACTTTCTCACTTGTTTAGCTGATCCTATAGCTGTTACCTTGTAAGAATTCCAACAGACATCTCCCCAGATCTGCTAGTTCCTCAGGGATAATCTATGTTTAAAATAAAAGCTTCCTTCATCTAACAAAAACAACAAAATAAAAACATTATCTTCTCGAGTTATCATTACTAACTGGTTAAAAAAGAACAAAAAGGAAGCAATTAAAAGGAATAGAACATTTCCCTGGCATAGTCCCAAAGTCCATCTACTTATTACACTACCTTTCTGATTCCCTACCATTTTGGCTATTTGGTGTTTTTTTTTTTTTTTTTTTTTTTTCTTTTTTCCTCCTAGAACTCAGGGAGACAACAGCAAGAAATGTCCTTGGCAGATTAGAATGGACCACCTATCCACCTCCATTAAATTCACTATCACTACCCACCTCCAATAAATTCAAGCACTAATCATGTTACTTTAGAGAAGTCTCAAGCTCTGCCTTAGTTAGTTCATCTGTAAAATGGGGGGGGGATTAGTACTTTGCCTACTTTCATAGGATTTTCGTGAAGATTAAAAGAGAAAACATACATAAAGGTATCTTGTAAAGTGCTATATAAATTGTAGCTACCATTATTACTGTATGTGATTACCATATATGGGACATGACAATATATTGCTGAGATAGGAATTTGAGCACTGAGGGTTCAGTCATAAAAATATCAAACTGTACATTAGAAAAATTATATTCTCTTACTTTCATGCTCTTATACATATGAATAATAGATAAAATTAGATAAGCTAAAGAAAGCAAAGTGTAAACAACATTAAGCTCCATCCATATGTCCCTCCAACAGTCTCAGCTTTAAATTTCAATTTATCTAAATACCTAGGAACTTCACTATTTTAGAAATACTTTACCAAGAGACTATAATTAAAAGTTAAATTACATATATTAAAAGGTCCTTTTAACATTTCTCAAACAATACTTTTGGCTGGGTCTAAAAAAACACATTCATATACGTACTAAACTGATACATAATCAGAAGGGTACCAACTTATTGAATATTTTTACATACCATGCCTAGTACAGTAAAATGTTAAAATTTTTACTTTAAATTTTTTACTATATTACTAAATATAAAAACTTTTTCACTCACAAAAATCAACTCATCATGGACAACAGACTTAAACCTAAGGCATGAAACCGTTAAGAATTCTAGAAGAAAATGCTGAAAAAACTCTTAAAGACACCGGTCTAAGGAAAGAATTTATGAAGAAGACCCCCAAAGCAATCACAGCATCAACGAAAATAAATAAATGGGACCTGATTAAATTAAAAAGCTTCTGCACAGCCGAGGAAACAATAATTAGAGCGAATAGACAATCTACAAAATGGGAGAAAATATTTGCATGCTATATATCTGATAAGAAGCTGATAACTACAATCTATAGAACTCAAGCAAATCAACAAGAAAAATAAAATCAAACAACCCCACTTTAAAAAGTGGGCAAAAGATATGAACAGAAACTTTTCAAAAGAAGATAGACTAATAGACAATAAACATATGAAAAAATGCTCAACATTTCTAATCATCAGGGAAATGCAAATCAAAACCACAATGAGATATCACTTAACTTCAGGGAGAATGGCTTTTATCAAAAAGTCCCAAAACAACAAATGTTGGTGCGGATGCAGAGAGACAGGAACACTCATATACTGTTGGTGGGACTGCAAACTAGTACAACCTCTATGGAAAGTGAAAAAAAAAAAGACATTCTATAAAAAAGACACCTACACTCAAATGTTTATAGCAGCATAATTCACAATTGCAAAGATGTGAAAACAGCCCAAGTGCCCATCAATACGTGAGTGCATTAATAAAATGTGGTATATGTACACAATGAGTACCACTTAGCCATAAAAAAAAAAATGGTGAACTAATACCTCTCGTATTAACCTGGATGGAACTGGAGACCATTCTTCTAAGTGAAGTATCACATGAATGTACTCATCATTAAATTGGAATTAATCAATCAACACTTATGTGCACAAATGGAAATAACATTCATCAGAAATTAAGCAGGTGTGAGGGAGGAGGAGGGGATGGGTAAATTCACACCTAACAGGTAGAATGTACACTCTCTGGGGGATAGGCACACTTGGACTCAAACAGTACAAAAGCAATTTATGTAACCAAAACACTTGTACCCCCATAATAGTCTGAAATTAAAAAAAAAAAGTAAAAAATAATAAATGGCTAGAAAAAAGCTCAATGACACCTAGTGAATATGCCACACTAATTGAGAATATTCCCAACAAAGTGATTTCTCAACAGTGACAAGTATCACAATTACCTACGGAACTTTCACCATACCAGAATCTGAGGATGGGGTTCAAACGTGAAACTTTTGAAGCACAGCTAGTAATAGTGGTCATTCTGGATTATCTACACCCAAGCTTTCCTATTACTACATATAATCAAGAGAAGACTATCATGGGTTTCATTACAAAAGGTAAACTCCTTCTTATAGTAATATCACATGACCCAAAAACATACTTGTGTAATGCTAAAAAATTACACACTTTGATATTCCTAAATACCATCAATTCCATTTCAAAATATCTACACAATTTAAAATTTTTCTTATAAAAACATATCCCAAAGTCTGATAACTAGTGTCAAGATACAATTTTAAATAATTCAATCAACTAACACTTATTAATATCTGCTATGTATGTAAGGCATTTTGACGGGTGCTATGGAGAGATTAAAAAACATGGTTCTTCTTCTACCACAGCTTACAAACTCAAGGAGCAGGCAGGACATATACATTAATACATTGCATATTCAGAGTTGACTATCCAGCAACCTCTCCTTCCAGTATACAGCCAAGGAACAGAAATAATTAAGGATTAATTAGGATATTTAGGATAATAATTAGGAATTATAATTCCTAATAATTAGGAATAATTAGGATAATAAATAAGAAATAATTAAGGAATAATTAGGATGCATGGCAGTCAAAAGAGATGTCACAAAGTTCACCCACTAAAGTGCATGCCCTTTCCTCCTCCTAGGAATGCCCAGTACATTCTCGTGCAAAGTTTACTCTTATTCCAAACAATTTAAATAAATTTGCTTTGGTTTTAGAGTTCTTAGCAAATGAAGATTAAAAGATCCTTGGGCAAGGGGTCCTACAGTTTGAATGTTTGTCTCCTCTGAAAATCATGTTGAAATTTAATCCCCAACGTAACAGCATTAAGAGGTGGGGGCCTTTAAGAGGCGATTGGATCATGAGGGCCCCACCCTCATGAATAGATTAATCCATTCATGGATTAACAGGTTAATAGACTAATGGTTAAAGGAGTAATGGGTTATTGCTAGAGTGGGTTAAGTTATCACTAGTGGCTCTGTTATAAAAGGCAGTTTGGTATACCCTAGCCTGTGTCATATACTGCCTTGGGACTTTACAGAGTCGCCACCAGCAAGAAGGCCCTCACCAGATGCAGCCCCACAACCATGGACTTCCCAGCCTCCAGAACTGTAAGAAATATTCTTTTCTTTACAAATTACTCAGACTCAGGTATTTTGTTGTAGCAACAGAAAATCAAGGGAGAGCAAAAATATCTTTAAAAGGAGGGGAAGGGATTCCATCTATATGAGCTATCTAGAATAGCTAAAGCCACAGAGAGAGAAAGCAGATTAGGTATTGCCAAGGGCTAAGAGGAGGAAGGGAATGAAGTGACTGCTTAATGGGTATGAGGGGTGGATCAAAATATTTTAGAACTAGATAGAGGTGACGGGTATACAACACTGTGAATATACTAAATGCCACTAAAGTGTACACTTGAAAATGACTGATTTTATATTATCTGAATTCCACCTCAGTAAAAAGGGGGACACAAAACCCCAAAAGCATTGGTGGTCAAAATAATCTAGTTTAGGAAGAATATATTAATAGTCATCTGTGCATGGACAGTTTTCAAGGGCATGTCTACACTATTACAGAACTACCGATAATGATAATGGCACCAAATCATGTCAACAAAGTTAAATCATACTGAGAATACCCTATTTAAGATGGCATGAAATTATTTAATGTATTTTAGCATATTGAGGAATTTTATCAAAAATTAACAAGCTAGAAAGTTCACTTAAATGGAGTTCTCATTTCTCCAATAATGCCAAATGAATATTTTTTAAATTAAGAAGATTACACAGCATAATGTCCACATATGTACATCATAAGCACTGATTTTGTGGGACAGTGTTAACTTTAAACATTCTCTTGCATGTTTTTATAATTACAAATGACATTATAGCTGGATGCGGGTTTATTCGTTCCTTGGTATATTAAAAATTACTCTAGATTTAAATATATTTTGAATCACAAACTATACTGAGAACTCAGAGCAAGATAAATTACAGAATTATGTAACCAAATATTTTATCAACTATTCTGCTTCATTATCTTAATTACATTTCACAAAAGAAGGATAGTTGTTCTCACCAAAGAAGTCACTATCTGATCTGATAAGCTCATTTAAGGAGAGTTAACTAAGCCATTGACTCATGTCTTATCTTTTCAATGAGGTCATCTTTGAAACAGTGAGCCCAAAGTGGGATGTTTGTCATAAAACTCTGGTATTACAGAGAAGGAAATATGATGAATGAAGGTCTTGTGAAGGGTTTTCCAGGCCATGAAAGAAGAGCTGAAAAAGCAACTGGCACTGTTAGGAAGCCAGGATAGATGACTGAGAAGGATCTCCAACTGTTATCCCTAAACCAAGATGGAGCTTAATGAGGATTCCAGAATGACTAGCAAAGCAGAGCAGTTTTCTTTTTAGAATGGACCAGACCCTAATTACCAGTAAGAAAAACCTCTGCAAGAATCAAGTTATAATTATCTACTTTATTGAGGCTGTTTTGTGTAAGAATTGCATGAGTTGATTAAAAAGAAAATACATTGCTAAATCATCTGCCCAGGTTCCCATCAGCGACTAGGGCAAGAATAGGGGGACAGAATATCTGAAGAGGTAAGAAACTGAACTGTCCAATCTCTTAAATTACTCTAATATGTAACTCAAGAGTCAAAATGGTTGAGAAATAAAACACAATAAAACACAATTGGCTTCCTTTCCTAACAATGGCTCATTTGGAGCTCAAAATACAATTATAAAAACATCATTAAATAGCTTTTTTGTTTCTGAGTATCAAAAGGCCTTAGATCCCTAGCAGGTAGTAATTCTTTTAGTGTTAGCATTGCTTGTGTCCTGTTTTACACATGATAACTCTTCTGCACTACTCTTGGGTTTTCATGTCAGTTCTCACTACAACTTCAAATACAAGAGCTTCCAAAGCTTCACTGGGAACATTTCTGCTGGACAAAGAAATAAAAATTGTAAAACAATGCAGATAAAAGAGAGTACCTTATTAAGAAATCCACTTAGCTTCTACTTAAGTTTGATAAGTACTGAACAATTAATGCTGAATGTGAATATTTTTTATACTTAATGTATGGCATATACAATACAGCATTAGGACAGCTGTGAATTTTTGGTAGTTTTGGGTTTGTTATTTGCTCTTAAATTTTAAGTTTCTCTTGAAAGCCTATTTTGTCTTCAACTATGTTCAACTTGTAGCATAAAGAAGCAATCTGTGATGGTTAATTTTAGGTGTCAACTTAACTGGATTAAGGAATACCTAGAAAACCAGTAAAACATTACTTCTGGGTATGTCTATGATAGTATTTCCAGAGGAAACTGGGATGTCAGTAGACTGAGGAAGATCCACCCTAAATGTAGGTGGCTACCATCCAATCAGCTGGGGACCTCCAAACAGAACAAAAAAGGAGAGAAAAGGATTTTTTCTCTCTCCTTCTTGGAGCTGAGACACTCTTTCTGCTCTAGGACATCAGAACTTCAGGCTCCCTAGCCTTAGAACTCTAGGACTTATAACCAGTGGCCTTCTGGGTTTCACACCTTCAGCCATGGACTTACAATTATGCTATCAGTTTCTTTGGTTCTAAGGCTTTTGGACTTGGACTGAGCCATGCTACTGCCATCCCAGGCTCTCCAGCTTGCAGACAACCTGTCTTTGGAAGTTCTCAGCCTCCATAATCTGTGAGCCAATTCCCCTAATAAATCCCCTCCCATCTATCTATCCAGTCATGTGCTGTATAATGTTTCTATCAACAACAAACTGCATAAACAACAGTGGTCCCATAAGATTTTAATACTGTAATTTCACTCTACCTTTTCTATGTTTAGTTATGGTTAGATACACAAATACTTACCATTATGTTACAACTACCTACAGTATTCACCACAGTAATGTGCTGTGCAGATTTGTAGTCTTGGAACAACAGGCTATACTATATAGCCTAGATACATACAAAGCTATACCACCTAGGTTTGTGTGAGTATACTCTATGATGTTTACACAATGATAAAATTGCCCAACCACACATTTCTCAGAATGTACCCCCATTATTAAGCAACACTTGACCCTGTGTGTGTGTGTGTGTGTGTGTGTGTGTGTGTGTGTGTATGAGTGTATGAGTGTGTATGTATTGCTTTGGTTCTGTCTCTCTGGGAGAACCTTGACTAATATACAATCAAAGATAATACCTGATAGCAACTTATACTAAGGTTACCACCTATGGACAAAAAATATATTGTATGTTGTGAACATCTCAGGAAACATAAAAAAAGGAAAGAAAAATTTTATTACAATTCCTATTCTCCAACATATTAGCTAATGCTATTTTTACTATAGTCCAACCTCTACCCCACCAATAAGGATTATTAATTTTAAATGTGCTATTTAAACTACTGTGTTCTATATACATATCATTACCTCATAAGACCTGACCAACATCTCATCAAGTCCTGAAATAATATAATTTTGTAGAAGTATTAAAATAATCTGGAGAGATTCCTACATTAAGATGGCAACTTAAGTCACCTAATTTCCTACCTCCCCCAACAGCCCACTGGAACAACCAGAAAATACAATAAAGAAAATCCTCTAAAATGGCTAGGAACTAGAAAAACATTCCATACACATACAGCAAAGTGTTTGTTAGGAATAGGTCTGGTGAGACAAGAGTAAAAACAACTGCTGACCCACTGCCAACCACCATTTTTAAAGAGGAAGTCCACTAAGGGACATTCATCCAACCAATATTTAATGATTATCTATTACACCTCAAGTAAGGAAGTGAGAGACATAATTCTGCCTACTCCTTCTCCCCTACACATACCTTGGGAGAGAAAGTGAGGCTTCAGTGGAAGATCAGGTGGAACCCTTTGGGTGACAGAAGACTCACGCTGAGGTATGAGGAGGAAGGAAATGAATCCAGAGCTTCAAGCTTGGTCCAGAGACCAGACAGAGTAGGGGATTGCTAGCACCACCTGTCAGGAGAGATGTAAAGAGAAAATTATTTCCAAACAAAGATGAATCTTCCTACATCCATGCTACCTTTCTGTGCATAAGAGTTCTGTCCTTTCTCCACATAAGTAAATTATCTCTACAGTGTCAGAAAACAAATTACCATCTCCTAACCAAAAAAATTCAGAAAATCTTGATTTATTCTCTAAGAACGCACCTCAACTACCAATGTCAACAAAAAAGATAAGCAAGCAGAAACATCACTGGATGCAATAGTTCAAAAAAGGGAAAATAATCTGAACCCTCACAGAAACCTTTCCCCAACTCTCTCACCCAGCAGTAAAAATGGTACCTACAGTGAAAGTTACTGCAATAAAAGAGAATTTTTTTTAAAAAAAAATCAAGTAATAATTAGCAATCCCAATAAGACCTGAGAGATTATACTGAAAAAAAGAAAAAAAACAAAAAACCAAAAGTAGATGGTGGAGAAATGATTTTGAAAACAAGAGAGAAAAATTATACCTAGGGTTTTTTTCCAAAAAGACTTGAATTTTCAAAATCAAAAGCTCCTCAAATGCCAAGCAAGATTACTAGTTGGAGGAAAATATAAAAGTCAGTATCTACAAATTCTCATCATAAAAATGTTTAGTTTAAAAGATAAAAATGAATTGCTACCCAAAAAGGAGGTAAGAGTGAACTAGAAAGGTACTGATTTTTTACCAGCAATACCACATTTAATCAGACATCAATATTGATCAACATTTTATTCACATCTCTAAGTGCTAAAAGTCAATAGAATAACATTTTAGAGTTCTGAGGGAAAAGGATTAGCCCAAGAGTTAATTCTATATTGAGGAAAACTCTGGTATGTAAGCAAAAAGCACAACTTTAGATATGCAAAGATTCAGAAAACATACTACATGTGTACCCTTTTAGGAAAAAGTTTTGAATAAATACTTTAGCAAAATCAAATTTATGTCAGAAAGAAAACTAAAAAAATGTAATATAAAAAGAAATATCCATAGATAGTAAAATTACAACAGAAATGATTATAAATATTGTTGTTACCATGGTTAAGACTGGAGAAGGGAACATTTGCAACATTAAATATATAAGAAGCCCTTATAGAAAAATTTGGAAACAGGAAAGGTTACAGCAGCAACAAAATTGTGGATGCTGAAAAGCAAATAAAAGGGTTGCAGACCCAAGAAAACTTAATTCCAGGCAGACAGTGGGGAAAGCTAAGAACTAACCCATTTTATACTCTAAATTTTCAAAAGGTCTAGGAAATGGTACTACCAAGTAACTCTAAAATAGAGGAAGTAGGGAAGCGGAAGCTAGAACAAAGAGCAATATGGAGAAAGCTGCTTGAGTTTGAGTTAGACACTAAGATTCCCTTCCTCACTCTATTATGTTATAGTTAACTGTTGTTATCCCACTACAACAGAAGTTTAGAGGTTTATTCTCAACAGAGGGTAAAACCAAATCTCTGAAATAGGGGAGACCAGGCATAGGTGAGACAGTGGGCAGCATACTAAATCAAAAGGATTAAATGACCATATACATATGAAACACAAACCCTTACCTCACTTCCCCTCTTTTCTCTTCTAGGCTGGCTCCCAGGCTAACACTATGCTACTTAAAATATGATCTGCTGATGGTCCACAAACCATCTGTCACCAGTCTACGACAAGATTGGTACAGAAAATGAAAATAAGCATTTATAAATTATGACAAAAATTTTCAGAGTTAAGTTTATGCCTTTTGAATCAAATAATAAAAATATAGATTTGTCTTCTAATAATAAAAATATAGATTTTGTCTTATATGTCTTCGTTTTTTAAATCTCATTATTCCAGTAATTTACTTTTATTATAGTTTAAAACTACCATTCTGCAATATATTGGGATAAAAGAAAATAAATGTCCTGGTGCTTCAGCAGTCTGAGAAGCACTGGGCCAGATCCTGGAGCCTGACCAGGCCCAAAGAGCTACCCAATGTGAGAGTCCAAGCCTTGTGTTACAAGCCTCTCCACAGGTTGACAGAGCTTTCCATCTGCTTCTTGGTCACGAGCAGACAGTCAAAAACTAGCTGACATCCGAGGAAATCCTCTAATGTTAGCTCAAGATACAGACTTGTTTCTAACAAGTTAGAAATAGAGACTATGCATTAAGAAAAAAAAATTCTTTAAAACTCACTGACTTCTCAGGGAAGAACAGGATGACACAAAAAAGGAACATTAAGAGAACAAAAAAAGAACTCGTAGAAATAAGAAAATATAAAGAAGCAGAAAAGGGCAATGGAAGGGTTGAATGGTAAAGATAATCTCTCAGAGAGCAGAACAAAAACACAAATAAAGGAGAAACAGGATGAGAAAGTCAGAGGAGGAATCCAGGAGGTCAAACATTTGACTAATAGGAATGCAGAAAGTAAGCACAAACAAAAAGAAGAAAGAAATCATCATTAAAATAATTTTTTTGAAGAATTGAGCTGTAGCAAATCAGTTTCCAGGATGAAAATGTTCACCAAGTGCATAGTATATTGAACCAAGGCAGATCATTGTAAAAATTCAGAACAGTGGAGGCAAAAAGAATATCCCACAAGTTTCTAGAGAGAAACAAAAAAGGTCACGTAACAAAGGATTTGAAATTAGACAGCTTTAGACTTCTTATCTACAATGGAAGGATAAAGACAAAGGGGCGATACCTTCAAATTCTGAGGTAAAACTTTCAACTGGGAATTCCATACTCTGCCAAGCTAACAATCAGGTATAAGGGTAAAAAGAAGACACATAAAATATTCAAATTTACTTGCCAGACATCCTTCCCTAGAAGTTATTACAAGATATACTCCATCAAAATGAGAGAATAAAGAGAAAGACATGAAATATAAGCAACAGGAGATCGAATGGAGGAGAGAGAAGTAAATAATATCCCCAAGACAACAGTAAAGGCAAATCCCAAGATAATGGCTGGACCCCCATCCCATTGCTCCAGTCAGTCCAAAGATAAAACATCATCTACATCAAAAGATAAGACATATTGAGGACTTCCATCATCAAAAACCTGACACTGTACCATCTTTTCAACCTTAGTACAGAATCCCCAGGTGAACATGGCCCAGAATCTTACTTATATTGACATAAATTCATGATCTTTCTGCATTCCCCTCCATGCCCTCATATCTACATCAGCTGAGGTCACAGTGAGCTTAGGAAGCAAAACTACAGAGCAGCCTACTCACGCTAACAGACATTCAATATCCAGTCTACACGGCAGGGCTGCCAGATTCTCTGATTATGGTGAGTCCTAAGGTTCCTAGGATTCACTCACAACTTTACACACTGACTTCCCCAAAAGGGGCTCTGGTAAACTACCAGAGAAGCTAAAGGCAGACTGTGATCCAGCTACTTTGTTCACCTTAACTTCTCCTGGAAGCCTTCACCTAACAGTGGCATTGTTATCTTTTCACTGCATAGCTACAGTAAATTAGGGTTGCTACCAAATTTTCAAAACCAAACAATTTGGTACTTATAGAGTCATAAAAATACCAAAAGTTAAAATGGTAGTTTCACTTGGTTGGGATCAGAGAGGAGGGTATGAACAAAGAGAACACACTGGGGTACAGGAAAGGAGCTTCTGTTTCTTAAATAGTTCATATGCAGGTATTTACTATATTATCTTTAAACCATATATAGTATATATAAATATATTTCACAATAAATAAAAACACATTACAAAATGGGCAAAGGACACAAAGAAGAAAGTCACAGAAGAATATCAGTGAAAATAGGCCCAAACTCACTAGAATTCAAAACAAATTAAAATAATAAGAACACCTCTGTGTTCAACCAGATTGCAAAAGATGTTACGTATTTCTAATACCTAGTGTTGGTGAGTTAGGAAAAAGAGGAACTATGATATACTAATGATGGAAATATAAGCTGGCATGACCTTCATAAAAAAGTTTGCAATAGATACATAAAAAGCTTAGGGGGAAAGTATATAACTTCTGATTTACTTCAAGAAATGTATCCTAAAAGTAATAATCAAAGATGTCCATGGCACCACTATTTATAAAATCACAAAATTAAAAATAAATGTCCACCAATAAATAATGATTAAATAAATTATGGCATTTCTATTTAAAAGAATACTATTCAAATTTTAAAATAATATTGTAAACCCACATTTATTAACAGAAAGATATCCAAGATACATGAAGTGAAAAAAAAAACCCAGAAAACAAAGAGACATATTAGGATTTAATCTGTCCAAACAGCAATAGATAAGAGAGTAGATGGATAAACAAATGGATAATAGACCCACACAAATTCTCAGTAAAAAGTCAAGAATACACATAATAAAAATATTTATAGTGGTTATTGGTTATCCCTAGGTCAGTGTTTCTTAAAACGCTGTCCTTGGATCACTGTGGCCTGCACAGTGGCATACTGCCTTATGGCAGCACAAGCCAACAGCTTACATTTGGATAATATGAGAATGGCAATGTCTTTGCCTCTAGGTAACTCTTATGAAACTTCATCAAAAGTGGCATAAAGCCATGAACATTTTGAAATTCTCAAACAAAGCAAGTGACTTCTGTTGTAAACCAACTGAGTTTTTCCTCAACAAACTCAAAATAATATACTTGATGCCAGACAAAATGGATGAATGTTGACACTAAGGATGAAAAGGAGATCAAAACAAAATAGATAACATTCAACGCTGTGTTCCCCATATCAACTCACAGGTACCTAATCATACCAATACAAAGAAGACTATAACACTAGCTTCAAAGTTAACAGTAAACATAAGATTCAGAGAATAAACAATTGAATGTCACTCATGCTATATAAATTCACACTATAAGGGTAGCGTTTTTAGTTTTTTTATTTAACAATATATTTGTGAGGAATGAGCTACCTAAAACATAAGTAACGGGAGTTGGTACCACCAGAATAGCAGTTACAGGTATGCAGTGTGGTTATATAAATAAAAAGTCGCTTACATTTTACACAGAA